ATAAGAGTTCCAGTGTTCCCAGAAATAAAAACCATGGTTCAATCTGAAAAGTTAGTTTCATGCTAAATTTGATTCAGAACCTACAAGGAGTGATTCTATTACACTAATGTGTTCCAGGAGGCACAATGATATTTACAGTCATGATGATCCGCAGAACAATACTGGTAGCTGTATTTATTTTGGATTAACCTTTGGCGCAGTTATCCATCCGTGTACAAATCTCTCACATCTCCGGCCTCCTCTTCCTGTGGAGCTCAGGCCGTCTCATCTTGCAAAATCTGTCATGCTTCTAACCTGCTGTATGGTGCAGCGAGGCAGTTCAAATAAGAGTCATGCAGAAGCCTTCGCACTGCATTGTTGTAATATGGCCGAGCCACCCACACACACACCCCCCCCACACACACACACCCCCCAGCACAGCACAGCACAGCACAGCACAGGGGCGCCAGACAAATTGTCATGTTCATGCACAGTCACACATATGAACTGTCTGTGACCTCACGTGACCTGCATCCTCAGCAGGGAGTTTTTGGTTTCGTCGTAATGGGAAAGGACACTTTTTGCCCTTTGGCTCCATTCTTGAAACACAATGTGCTCGACCCGGCTGCTAAAGCGTACTTGCACACCAGTGTGTTGTGGAATGCTTTACAATCAGTGATGGCAGTCTGTGGGTTCGGCTACAGAATGAGGCCCATGCTCCCCTGACCTACTTACAGCTTCACACTGTTCTGAATCTCAACAGTGTTATTCCTCAGTGAAAGAGTTTTAAAAATGCACCACACTGTTATGTTTTTGTGTATGAAGGCAGGTATATACATGTTAAAAATTAACCTCAGATGACAACAAAAAAAACGTAACAGATTTCAGAATGTAGGCATTTTTTCCCCAAAAGGTAAACCAACATTCAGAAACCGGGTGGGAAAAAATAAGTACACCCTATAAAACCGTAACATGTAGAAACACCTTTAGCAACAATAACCTGAAGTAAACGTTTTCTGTAGGTGTTTGTCAATCTATCAAATCGTTTTGGAGAAATTTTAGTCCACTACATTACATCATCATATTTACATCATTGCTTCAGTTCATTGATGTTTGAGAGCGTTAATTTACGCACAGCTCTCTTAGGATCCCGCCACAGCATCTCAATGGGGTTGAGGTTTGGACTTTGACTTGGCCATTCCAGCATCTTCATTTTTGTCTTCTTTAGCCATTCAGTTGTCAATTTGCTGGTGTGCTGGGGATCTTTGTCCTGTTGCACAACCCAATTTCAGCTGGACAGATGGCCTCACATTAAACGCTCTGTGCTTGCACTGAATCTGCTGGGACGCCCACTCCTGGGAAGACTTGAAGACTCTCCATTTGTTAAAAAAAAAAATCCTTCTCACTGCAGAATGGTGAATTTTAAATTGATTGGAGATGGCCTTATAACGCTTCCCAGATTGAGCAGCAACAATTGCTACTCTGAGGTCATGGCTTGATGACTTGGCATAATGTAGACACACTTGTTTGGTGCTCCAGAACACCAAACTGCCAAAGGTTCTTGTAGAGCTTTCACAGAGATAGTCACACTTCCTGATGATTTAATTTGTCAATGGTACACTAAATTTTCATACATGTAGCTGTGGCAATGGAGGAGACAAGAGGCCTCACTTACAAACCCACTCTAAAGACAGACGCACAGTGAAATTCACTACAGTTGGTGATTCATAAACTCTGAACATGGGGTTCATTTTTGGTGCTCAAACGCAGGGTTTCCTAAACTGGATCCTCAGCTAGTTTCACAATAACTAATGAACAAGGCCTTTTGAGTTTTTAAGAACTGTTGCAGTGAAGAAATCTGTCAAAGGCCATAAGAAGATGATTAATCCATTCCTACTGGCCATAAAGTCAAGCTGCAGTGTTTAATATGAACTTTCGAAAGCCAGCATAAGCTGCATTGGTGTTGCAATCTCTACAAGAACGTTCTCACATCTGCGTCATTTTATGGATGCATAGGATCCATCAATGAAATATATATGGCTTTTTGTACTTTTTCACATTATATTTGGAATTGTTTTTTTTATGTAATGTGTTTTAGTTTGTCAAAGTGGAACATGAACAGTATTAAGCATTGGAAATACATTTATTCATTTATTCATCTCCAGCAAACGCTTGATCCTGGTCAGGGTCACAATGGTCACAAGGTGGGAATGCAGTCCATTGCAGGACACCATGCACACACACATTCACAAACTAGAGGCACCTAGGGGCAATTTAGAGTCATCAGTCCACTTACTGGCATGTTTTTGGGAGGTGGGAGGAAACTGAAGAAGCTGGAGGAAACCCAAGCAGACACAAGGAGAACATGCAAAACCCCAAACAGGCAGTAACATGAGCTCAGGATTGACCTGGAGCCACGAGGCAGCAACATTACTCTCTCTGCCACTGAGCCACACTCAACAAATACAGGCTAGTAATATACTCTCAGCGTGGCAGTTCAGGGACAGTAATAAAAACAAATTCAGACTGTGATGAGCACTGTGGGAACATCAATAACCATAACAGAGCTGTGTTAATTGAGTGATTTGGATATTATATTATATTATAGTAGCCTTCAGTAAATGGCACCACTTCAGCTGTGTTAGTGATTTAATATTGAGTTCTGCCAAGGCTAAACCAATCTATGAAGAATGTATGTAAAATGTACTACTTGCAATTTTCTCTCATTTTCCAAAACTAAAGAGCTGCTTTGTTAGTGTGCAGTTTATATCGCTCTTTACTAGACCCTTAAGAATATAGGTAGCGAAACAATACAGGCAAACAATAGATAATATCCTAATATCCTCTTGGGAAACATGCTTTGATACTTTATATCACCACAAGTGCTCAGAACAAAATGAAACAAAAAGCATTTTTCAACCTATGACCTAGAAACTGCACTCAGAAATACACAACAGATTGTTCATTTCACCAAATAAGCCATTTGGGTGAGCATTAGGTTTTATGTGGTGGTCTGAATTCTGGCAAAAAACCAAATAAGACCAAAAAAAAAATTTAAAAAAAAAAAATATCAGCTTTTGGCCAAAATTTCTTTTTTCTGCCTATAACATAGATTGATAGCTCAAATTTAAGAAACATAACTATATTTCATGAAATCAAAAAACATAGTTGTATTTTCGCATAATATATTGTAATCACCTTACAAAGACCACGTCGGGTAAGGAGCCTGTTTAAGAAATACAGCGGTGAGAAGAGTCCGTCTGTATAAAGACATCTAAACCTTGTTCACTAAGGGCATTTTCACATTTGGTCCGAACATAGGAGTGTGCACTCAGAACCGATTCTGAGCTCGTTTGGGGGCGGAGCTGATAATCGCAGATTTGCGTTCACTCAGAATACCTGTGCACTCAGGTATGCAAAATGGTCAGCACTAGGTTCATCTGTTTGCTGTTTTGTTTTTTAATTATTTTTCTGTGGTACCAACATGTAAGCGCCAAAACACAGCATTTTTTGGATGCATGGCATCGTGCAAGAATATTGCAAAATATATATATATAATCAGTAACCATAACAACTATTTCCCCAACATCACAAAGGTAGAAACAGGAAGTAATGTGACAAATAATATTACTTGGCCCCGGGCACAGATACACTATATGGCCAAAAGTATGTGGACACCTGACTGTCACATTCGTGAGCTCGTTGAACATCGCATACCGGATTTATTCCCCCTTTGCTGTTATAATAAGCTCCACTCTTCTTTCCACTAGATGTTGGAGCGTGGCTGTGGGGATTTGTGTTCATTCAGCTACAAGAGCATTAGTGAGATCAGACGCTGATGTTGGGATGTCGAGGAGGTCTGGGGTGCAGTCGGTGTTCCAGTTCATCCCAAAGGTGTTCAGTGGGGTTGAGGTCAGGGCTCTGTGCAGGAGACTTCTTCCACACCAACCTGGGAATACCATGTCTTCATGGAGCTCGCTTTGAGGACAGGGGCATCGTCATGCTGATACAGTTTTCAGCTCCTTAGTTCCAGTGGAGGGAAACTGTAAAGCTACAGCGTACAAAGACATTCTAAACAATTGTGTGCTTCCAAATTTGTGAGAACAGTTTGGTGAAGAACCGCATGTGTGTGTGATGTTCAGATGTGCACATACTTTTGACCATATAGTGTAGCTAGTTAAATGTGAAAAATGTAGATAGCTGTTTACTGCTTTGGCTTAACCCTTAGTGGGCCGTGTCTATTCGCTGTCACTAACGTAATTCCGTTCCTAAACAATGTGTACAGTGGCATTGGGAACACTATTATTCATTACTGGATATGGGCAGGACTCACACGTGTGTGTGAGATGGTCAGGTGTCCATATACTTTGGACCATATATTGTAGCTTTCACACCTGATAATGGTCCTTGCTGTGGTTCACTTGAAGTGCACCCCAGACCACCATTTTTTCCAGGAGCACCAGTGATCCAGTCTCTGGAGTGCCCCTCCGCTCTTCACCAGTCATACTGAACTCAGGCTACACACAGGTTTACACGACAGCGATGTAGTCAAAAATGGAAAAGTTTTTCTCTTGCGTTTTCAAAAAGTTTCACGTATACACGACGACGTTTCCAAAACGATTCACGTTTACACATATCCGCGATAACGGCCAAAAACACTGTATTACGTATGCTCTTGCCTTTACGATAGACACGTACTGCGCATGTCTACACACCTACCACGTACGACGCACGCGCATGTCGTCACCGTTTTCAAAGATTCCCGTTTTGGGTGTTTACATGGAGACGATAACGGCGGCGTTTTCAAAAACTTGCACTTTGAAACCCGTTTTCAAAAATATGCGTTTCCAGTCCCCAAAACGCCGCTGTCGTGTAAACGAACAGGCAAAACGCATAAAAAGTTTCCCGTTTTTGACTGAAAACGTTATCGCGTAAACGGCCCCTCAGGGCTCGAACAGCCCCAAGTCTGGGGGGAAAAAATGCAAGTGTGAAAACAACCTAAGTGTGATTTCCCAGTGGCTGAGGTAGCTTGGGGCTCAAAGCCATGATCCTGTGATCAAGAGTCCCATACTCTACCACCTGCGCTAGCTAGGCACAACAGATACTGGCTGTCAAAATGTCCATAATGCTCCTGCGCTGTAGTGGAATATAAATAAAATTTCTAAATGCAGTTTGCCCCCTTTTCACTTTTAGGGGTAGCCAAACTCTGAAATGCTTGACCGTTACTATAAAAGTTGCAAAATTGACCACGTGAAGAGTACCAGGCTCACACACAATTATTAGACAGTTGATGTTATGCAGTACAGAAATAGAGTTTTATAGATAGTGCGAAAACACTATTTCAAAGTTCAACGTGTAACTGGATATATATTTTCAAGATGTTTTTTTTTCCAGTCTGCTTTTTAAACAAGCATAACAGGGCTGTGTTCTGATAAACCACTAAAGGCTGGAGAAAAATCCTTAATCAAATATGTAATTTAATGTGTAAGATGATGACGCCTTGTCATGTTAAAAACCATGACCCTGGACTGTACAGTGATTTTTTTTTTTTGTATGCTATTACTCCAATAATTGTTGGAGCAGCACACCACATACAAGCCCTCGATACACAGACGAGAAACCAACACGGCGATCGATGGCCTGTAAACTCATTCCTCGCTTTTCATTAGCGAGATGACGATTCCTCAGAGAATAAGGCCGTAAAAAGAGGTTTGAGCACAGCATCATGTAACAGGAGCTACAGCCTGGGAGTACTAAACAGAGCTCTTCATGATTTAACCTCCATCTCACAGATCAATAGGAACCATGGAGAAGATGGAAAGCTGAGCCTCGAGCCTACACACGTGTGACTTAGATTACATCCCTCTATCGTGTGCAAGTGATGGAGGACAGTGCATGGCTAATCATTCTCGAGGTCAAACCTCACAACAAGAGCAGTGTCTGAAGATAAACGCGTGCGGAAGCAGGATGCTCCTCTGCCCTGGGAATAGTCTTGATGAAAGAGGTTAAATATTTGAAATAATAAAATGATGATACGGGTTGCATTGGAATTAACTGATGTGAACAAAAAAAAAACAGTACTATGTACGTTACATATATTAAAATATTATTTAAAATGTATAAAATGTAGATTTTTGTCTTTGCCCTGATCGTTTGGTTATATCCTACGATAATCTGAACACCATCATTTTTTAAATTGTGCACCAAAGCTAATTCCTGCTTTTTTCCCCCTAATGTATTAAAGACAACTGAAAATCAAAACACCTTCTGATACCATGCAAACTCAGGTCCTTGGTCAGACTTTACTCAACTGCTCTAATCACCTAAGAGACAAAATTCTTCTTTGTTGTTACATTCCACTAAAGTGCAGCAACTTTTTTTGCACATTTACGCAACAATAGAACGGGCGACTCGCACAAACACTTACGCATTATAACCAAAACGGCACTTCGGCAATGGCGCTGTTTTACACCCGGTGCCTGCAGGGGCTCCTGAAAATGAACGTCGACAATGTTTATCATATACGTAAGAACATTTGCAAAGCTCCTTTTAGTAAGAAAGGCAGTTTCGTCATACATATAAACTACTGAAAGTAAGAAAAATACCTTTTATTAAAAGCAAACAAGCTAATGCTAACCCAGCACTATGTCTTTATTGAAAGACTGAAAAAAAAACAAACGTTAGACGTTGCTGTCTCACTGTACTGCTGAGTGTAAACAGTGCTACCAGAGACACGACATTCACACTATTTCAGTTAAGCAATTTCTCACGAGCAAGAGTGCAGTCATACTGAATATCGGCGTGGCTGTGATTTGCCGTAGGTAATCAATATAACTACATGGTTTCAAATACAAGATTGCTTTTATACAACAGTTCTATAAACAAGGAATTAATCCTGAGTGACATTTCGGACACAATATGGCAAAACGGTCGGTTTATTTTTGCTCAGCTAGTGGATAAAGATCCCAAAGAAGCCACGCTCACTTTATAGCACGTTGGCTACCTGACCCGCTAGCTCATATTGATTTGTACATTCCCGTTAAAGGTGCTTCTGGTAAAACTGGTGTCTTTTCTTCCTTTTCGTCTTCTGATGAGCTTTCATATTTTAAGTCAAAAGTTATATTCAAGCACAAATGATCACCTCAGTATTCAAGTCATCACTTGTGCTACTGGCTGGATATACAGATGCAAATAAACATGCCCTCACTCCTAGGATAATATTTTCGCCATCCGCACCTCCTGCATTAGCCAAATTTAATCCGTCTCCACAAGTGCCCGTGGTGTTGTGGGAGGTGAGTAATCCTCCACGCAGGCTGGCACCTCTACCCCTCCAGTCAATCAAACCCTGATGGATAAAAGCAACAAAAAAAAAAGTTCCCATCTACTCAAATATGTAGTTTCACTCAGAAATATGTTATGCTCCGAGTTTCACATTGTCTTTCAATTCAATTTCAAATTGAGAAAAAACAAAAACAAAACAAAAGCGTGTCTGACAGAGCATGTAAAGCTCATAAAAAGCCTCTTAACCACACCTTTACAGTTACAGGCCTGAGTGGCTAATGGTACTGTTCTACTATAGTGAACATCAAACATCAGTGCAACATTTGGACTGAAACTGCAGCACGGCAACGGGCGCGGCCGTGTTGATTTGACGTCACTCTGTAAACGGGGAAGGAAGTTGAGAAGACTACCCCAAGCTGACACGTTGAAGTTTCAAGTTGAGGTGTTTCGGTGGTGTTTACCAGTTGTAGGCGAGGAACTACAAGTTGCTACTTTGCCTCGAACGCATCATATCTTGTCTTGCAGACATTTCACAATATTAGACAAATAAAAAATACGATTTGCCATTTTCAATCAATTGAAAACGACACTTGTTGGCAAGTCGCTGTGGTGTAAGGGGAATAAACCACTTTGGGATGTACTGTTATGAGAAAATAATCTACTTTGGGATGGTAACAGCATCTCCGCTTCATGCTGGGTCACATCATTTTCCTGTAACAGAATGCCCCGAGTGTTTTATTCCCTACATAACAAAATCTTGTATTTAAGAAGATTAGGATGAAAATTGCTCTTAAACACATTGTTACAGAAACTAATTTTAAGTCACCTGGTAAAACAACAGGTTATACAACAGGATGCATAAAATGATTCCAAATAGTAACAACAAATGTTATAAATGTTGGGAGTCTTGAAGGCCCAGAGGAGCCCAGGTGCATCATGGGAAGCATAAATCCTAGACTAGCATGTAACTGTGCTAGCCCCCGCTCATTATTTGTTTTGTGCAAATTTTATTTCAGGAGGATAAACACAGACTTTTCCTCTTCTTAAACAGCCTGTGCCAGGCGCACATAAACAGTGTGTGTTTTCAGGCAGGTCGGGTGTTTCTCCCACTCAGGTGAGTGCGCACACACACACACACACACACACACTTTACATATCCACAGGAGCTCGTAACCAGATCTCAGCAGCACAAACACCTCTAACCAGTCTCTTGATGTTTTTGCAGCCTCGAGCTACATTCAGCGCACAAACTACTGAAGAAAGTAGATTTTTCCTTCCTTCCAACTGCTCAGCTTCAAAAACAGATTAAACATGAAGAAAATCGTTTTGATAGCAAAGAATTTGTTCAGGAGGCACCACAATTTACTTTAAAAGGAGAACACCGTCGTCTTGACTAGGGCTGACGATGTCATGATATCGTGATAAATACACGTTTCTATACGATATACACAGTACAAGATATTACAAATAAATGATTCAGTGAAAAAATATATATTTTCTCTCCTTTTCAGTTTTAAATAAATCTATTTGTTGTAAGCATTAAATAAAAGTATTAAGTTGTTTTTTTTTCCATGCAACTCCCCTGTTCTGATGGCAGCTTGCTAGCAAACCTTTACATTGACACACATCACAGAAACGTCTTCAAAGCTTGATGTAATATTTTTGCCATATCACCCACCACTAATCTTAACACTGTCTGTCAGCGTTCTCCAAACTCACAATGCACCGCCTGTTCAGGGTGTCAGGGCTGTCGACATGAGCTCTCGCCACAGCTGAACCTGGTATCTCGCAGTCCCGAAGAGTAATCATCAGACGTTATGCTAATCTCTTAATGAGCTTACCTGTTTTATTTAGAGAGCCACAGCAAACTCATCTGCAAGCCATGAAACCATTGTGACAGCCAAGAGGACTCAATCCCATAATCCGCCCCGGTCTGAACTACACCAGACTGAAGCGCAGCAGGACCTCATGCTCTCCGTTACTCTAGAGCAGCAGTTGAGGGACAGCAGTTGAGTCTGGCATTGGGTGAGCTTTTATTTCAGTACTGTTCGACAGGGGGGCCGACGTGGTTATCTGGGCATGAAGCATTTTCCCCAACTGGTATTTTCAGAAAGGATACATTTAAACCACAGCAGTTACGTACAATAGCTGTTGTATTAGTGTGTACTATCATTAGCCACACTTCTAGCTTTCGCTAGAGGATCTGGTACATTTCATTAATAAACATGACTGCCTACTTTCACAGAACATGGCAGATGACCAACCACACACCTTTTCCCGTAACCTCACAGGTCTCTCTCATTCACTCTACACTCCACTAACAAAAACCTTTACTACCATTTACAGATGGGATTCCGTGAACTTTTCCGGTGACTGCATCTTGTTCTGAAAAGCTCATTGTGTCACGGTGTTTGTTTTCCCGCTGGGATCCTGAATGGCCCATGGGTCGCTGTTTAACATGCTCTACTGCAGAGCTTGTCCAAGCTAGAATTGAGGCCAAAGAGGAGTTATGAAACTGAATAACCTGAAATTAGGGCCAAAGATTAAAGCAAAGTTAGTGCCTCTCAGTTGTGTATCTCAGTTGTGTTCATTGTAGTTAACCCTAAACTTTGCCACATTTATTACAGCTTACATACACTATATGGCCAAAAGTATGCGGTCACCTGACCATTACACCCATATGTGGTTCTTCCCCAAACTGTTGGAAGCATGTAATTATACAGAATGTCTTTTCATGCTGTATCACTAAGATTTCCTTCACTGGAACTAAGAGGCCCAAACCTGCTCCAGCATGACGATGCCCCTGTGCACAA